AACCGAAGGGAAAGACGTACAAACAATGCAGACATAAGAGTGAATAGTGCACGGGTCCTTATGAGCTTTTAATTCCATTCTTTGTCACCCCCCCCCCCGTACATGTTTTCATTTACAAAACCGAGAGTTGCAGTACAACTGTGTTTCGTAACAATGTACTTTAAGCAATCTGTAGCACATTTTCAGTGTGAAGAGTTTATTTAAATTTTTAAATTTCGCCCAATACAATGTATTTTTTTATTTTATTATTAGCGGGGTTGTGTACGGTAGAAGGAACAGCCACTACCGCATTTGCACGGCTCGTGCGCGTGGTGATTCGCAATGCAGCACTGCGCCGTCCAAAGAAAAGTTAACAGGCGTCGGTGTTTTAAAGGCGATTTCTTGAAGTATAATTTATGTTTTTCAACAGAATGGATAATTTTGCTTCTGTCAAACGAAAAAATGGACAAGTCTCATATATTGCAACGCAGCACTTCGCTCTTATATCTGGAAGCACTCTTGTAGCAATTATAGATCGGGTGGAAAACATTAGCCCTTGATTAACAGGAGACCGATGTTTTCATGCTCCCTAGCAAACGTGCTCGAAACACGATCAGCCTCCGTCCGTCTAAGTCAGCCACAAGCAAACTGACCCATACACCACACGAACGAAACGTTTCTGTGGGTACAGCTCAAGCAGCGAAAACCGGCAGCCACTGTAAATTAACAGATCAGTGTCTGGCCTCGCGTGAACAGAAATTTCGAAGAACTGTGCCCGTGATTCCACGGGCAAACTTTTCCTTGATCTTATACGAGCTTTCCTTTACTCGTCGCATTTAATTCAATAAACCTTCATCTGTGAGTATGTAATTTCCAAGCCACGCGAGTGGTTTCAGCTGCGGAGGGATACATGCTCAGTTACAATGATTTACATTTATTTGTTAAGAAACCGGAATATTTGGGAAGGAAGTTTCCATTCTGACGTCCAAACGTCGCCCTAATTAAATCACACGAAACGTGGGACCCTAGACTGAAAGTTCCACCTCACAAACAGGAACTGTGTCTTACGGAGGAGTTGAGCTGTGTCCTTGGTCGGCGCAGGTGTGGCGAGGATAAAAATACAGCCAATAACACAACAGAAGTTAGGTCAATCCGACATATTGCAGTCCAAAATGCGTCGTGGTAGACCAATGGCGTGTACTTAGAACGGCTGATTGTTCCATGTTGTGGACCACGTCCTTTCCCTCGGCCATTACCAGCAGTCGTGGTAAGATCATCACAGGTTTCCGATAACATTTTAACTACAGCGAATGGATAAATGAATGTTCAGGGTTCTTCACTCGTACCCGGCAGAGGAGGTTGCGTGAAAAGACGATCGGAAGGAACGTTGGTTCTTTTCACTTCCGTCATAACAAGAGGAGGCACCTTGTTGCTATGCCAACCGTGTGCTTGCCGACTCGCGGGTCGCCGCCTTGCGTCGGTGTCACAAAGAGGCTCGCACATCATCAAATAATTCTCTTTAATAACCTTCATCTTTACTGGAACTAATTATTCACTTATGATTGAACACGTTATTTAACTTCGGTCAAAACATTATTACTTTCCAGACTTGAAGGATCTTGCTAACTCTGATTAGACTTCAGGTCGGATAAAAGACCACCAACTGGCCATGAAATTCCTTAAACATGACGATCTAGCGTCTGGCACGTCGAACACAGCTCAGAACTAGCAGCGTAGCGAGCCACCGACTGCCGCCACAGCGGAATTGTCGGTCTGCGTCCCCCGGACACGATCTCCAGCGAACGTGATCGTGCAATTTGTTCATAAGATCGCGAGTGTACGCGGACATACGAAAGCACAAATATAATAAAACACGTGGGAAAACCCGAGATTTTAATAAAGTCTCGTGGTGCACAGATGTACAAATATCATTGTTATACGGTTCATTCGTAGAGAACGCAGTCGGACAGGCAGGAGAAATATCTTAAAGGAGACCTGAGCTCGGTACGTACCGACAACACTGCATTAGACCTTTGACAGGAGCAGAGTGCTTTTAAGATTTGAAAATAAATTTAATAGGAGCAATGGAAGGGTTATAAAAAATCTAGACAAGGTCCACGCACCAAGACAACGGCTTGAAGATTTGATTCGAAGAACGAACTGACGTATTGAAGACGACATTCAGACAACACGCAGCCAAGCGATGGCATTAGCACGTCAAACAGGTGTTGATTGAGGATCAAATTTAGTTTCCCACGTCTCTTCCTTGTGAGATGTCATCATAAAACACGAATGCTTGCTGAGAAAGCTACCCGTAATACCCAAAGCAAATTGACGCATGCGAAGTGAAGACTCTTGTAACTTAATGTTTAGAAAAGACGGTTGTTTGTGCTTCGCAAATTTGTGGTTTCAATTTATAACATCCTGCTACTTTGCAGTCGATTTATTTCACAAAGTGCGTAGGCCCAGTCCTCAAATATTCTCCGTCTGTTCGTGAACAAACCAGTCGCACCGGCAGACCCCGATCGTACGAAAGTGAATACGGCACAGCTGCAAAGCGGACGTCGCTCGCTCTTCTACCGGACTTCTTTTACACACACACAATTCCATTCTTTTGAAGCGTAAAGTTGAAACGAAATTTATTAAGTGATGGGAGAAACTTGGGTGAATTTCGACCTTGTTTGCGGACCATCGTCTTAACGTTTGTCCACACTTTCCTTTCTTCAATTTATGAGAGGATGTTCCCTGAAAATGTTCACGTACACATAAATCCGTGCCTTTCCCAAATTAAATTTGTTTTAAGTTTCGTTCTGTCCGTTACCTCAAATCAGTCGGAGTAACTTAAAATCAAAACACTTCACGATAAAATCGATTCGACGGCCTTGTTTCCGGTCGGTGTTCGACTGAGCGAGATGACACACTTCCTCCTCCTCAGCTTCCACTCCGGAGCGTCTTAATCTGCTCGAACTGACGCAACGACAGATCGCTAGTTCCGCTGTACACGGAGCTAATCTGAGGCAGATGTAATAATAGTTCCCCTCATTCAGGGTTTAGCCTTCCCGACGCTCGTCCCCGGGCCGGTAAACGTTTCTGCAATTTGTCTGTGGAATCGGAGCTTTTCTTCAACCGAGCAATTCACAGGACGGGGGCCTGGTCCCTCGTAGGACAAATAACGCTCAGGTCCATGCCGGGTTCAGGTCTCGTTTTAAATGATAGCAATCGGAGAACAATTAGGGCAAAGGCGAAATCATTGCCACCTGAGCTCGTCTTTCGCCTGCCGAACAGCATTATGGGCCAGGAAATCCAAGTCCGTGAAACTTGTTTCCGGGGCCCGGCCGTGTCATGACGGCAAATACGAACAACTTTTTCTTTGCGAAAAAAACAAACAGAAACATGAAGTGTTCTATATCACGTCCGACAGATGTCATTTGAACCATGGCAGGATCGTAACATTCGTTGTGCCGCAATGCGCAGACGCGAGCCGCCCCGTGCACACCTGCAAGTCCCACAGTCATTTACATCGCACCGAAAATCGACCTGTTCCGAGTTCAGCCTGTCAACAGATCTCATCTCAGCTAATTTTCTCTCAACGTCGGCATCTAGAAACGGAAACGAGCAATTTCGTCTAGAGACGTCCAACATTAAGAGAACACGTAATTCGTTTCCACAGTGAATCTTATTCCTTCAGGCATGTCGCCCCTCGTGCTCCTTGGAACTACTTTCGTCAACAGGAACCACCACCAAAACGAAGCCGAAACTTCCAGCGACCTGTAATTTTAAACTCGCGGGTCGAAGGAGGCGGGAGATCAAACGGACAGGTTTACATGCGTAATCTGTGAAGTGAGACTGAAATCAGTCGCGTCTACTCACCCGAGGCGATGCCCAGCACGCTGCACGTGTTGCTGATGTCCACCCTGATCTGCTCGATCGCCAGCGACAGCACAGGCTCGATGGTCATCAGCGTCGACGACCCTTCCTCGCCCTTGACGACGCTGCACGACGCCCCAGCCTCGTCCGCCTCCACCTTAACCCCCGCCAGGAAGCCCGATGCAGCCAGCCCATCGAAGTCGAACGGCTTAAGGTTGTACTTCTTCTGGAAGCTCATGTCCCTGAGGACCTCCCGCAGCAGCTGGTGGTCCCCTGCCTTCCTCTCCGGACACGGTTTCTCGGGAATCACCGCGATGGTCGACGTTTTCTCAGAGGCAGCCGTGGTGGCCACGGCACAGTCTGACACGACCTTCTGGGTCTCCTTCTTCGCCTCCAGTGTTCTGCCGCTGACCAGGGACTCCTGGAGAAATCTCGATTCCTGGAGGATCTCCTGCAGGTCTATACTGTGCTCGTGTTTGATGGACCCGGTGGCTGAAGAAGGTGAGGGGCAGTGCTGATACGGAGAAGGGTTGCTTGCGTATGAGGACCCCGCTGGGGACGGAGGCTGCGGCGGTACGGAGTACACCTGATGCTGGAAGTACGTCGGCTCCTCCTTCACTGACTTTTGCTGCTGGCTCATCGTCTTCAGGACCTGCAGGTCATCCAGGAATTCCGGGAACATGGGCGGGGGAGATCCTGTGGGGTCACAGTACAGGGACATGAGCTGGTGCAAGTTCGTGGGCGAATACGGCACTTCACTGTCAGAGGGCAGCAGCGACAGGTCAAAGCAGTCGGCTGCGAAGTTAGTGTAGTCGCAGGTAGGGCTGAAACACGCTGAAGGCACCGTCTGGGGCATCTGGAACAAGCGAAATCGCGCGGCCTTCACTCGCCGAGTTCACATCGAGACTGTGCTAAAGTCAAGAGACAGACTTACTTGATCTTCTGGTTGTCAGAACACCTGACGGCCTTCTGGAGATGATCCTGGATTTGAATGCGTACCTACCGGCAGCCACATTGTACGGTACCAATACGATAATTCCCTACTTACAAGAAAAACATCGCATCTTCTCTGTATTCGATCTTTGTTCTTGGAACAACACAAGTTATGACATGTGGTAAACATAGCTACCACGTCCTACTACCGGTACTTCATCGTGGGCAATCTTTAATCATTTCTTTCTGAACTCTAAGACGGCACAAGGTGACACGCCGGTGGACATTTTACAAAGAACGAGTCAAACAAAAGTTTTTGTTTTTTCCCACTGTCATCCACCACGTCAGGACCCTGTAACACGTGTCGCTTCTATCTCACCGTTCGTCGGCCATATTGGTGTTATCGACTGTAGGAAATGATAAGAATTAAGGCTCCGTGGCGGCCTCCAACGGCGTAACTTTTACATGAAATTTAATCACAATCCGTCCTGCGATACTCGACTTGAAACTACGAACGTTGAAGTAACTTACGTACAGAATTTAAGCAAACTTTGTTGGAAAGTTAAAAGAGAAAGTTATTAAAAGGAGACACAGCATTCGAGTAAGTGACTCTACCGATCAAATGTAATTTCGCTGGTTCGAATCCCACTCGGGGCTCGGATGTGACCGCGTCTTTGGGACAGACCGCTAGACCAAGGGGCCCTTACAACTTCAAAAAGGTTTTAATCCACAGTAATCCTGGGGTCTCGGGTTCGATTCCCGGCGGTGCCCGAATTTTTAACTTGTGTTGGGCAAGGCCGTGGCCTAGGCAACACGGAGTTTTCCTCATTGGCATCCCAACAATTACTCCATTCACACATAGAAGAAGGCAATGGCAAACCACTTTTGGATCATCTGCCAAGAACGTATATGAACAGGTCCCAGTCCGAGAAAAGGATGGAAGGATCCTGTTCATATGGACCTGTCGTCAGACAGAACACTAAATAAATAAATAAATAAGGGAAATTGGGTCCTTTTATCGTCGAAACACGTTGAAGTTTTCATTCCTGAAACTGAGGGGACCAGAATTATCGAACTTTCGTCTGTTTTCACAGGCGCTACAGTATTCCAAGCCACTTCCGGTGTGTAAGTGTGTATTTGCGCACAAGTTTCAACAACACACTAACAGCTAAAATGGAAATGGTGTTTGGTGTTTCGAGCAAGTTGTGTCACAGCGCCGTCGTTCAACAATGACCTACGTCACTCCGCTACAGTCAGCCAGGCACCACAAACAATGCTCTAAATCACAACAAAAGAAATTGTTTCTGCACGGAATTCCAACGCGCAATCAAACAGAGAAACGAATTATAACATCGCGCGCGTCCATTATTGCCCGAAAGTGCAGATTTGTTTAAAGACGAAGCTCTCTTTCAACGTGTGGTCACAAGACTACAAGAACTTACTAAAGACATTGTTGGTAATCCGCAAGCCGATGACCGTTCTAATCTTCTACCACATCAGTTCTGGGTTGGCAACCCTTCTGAAATCAAACAGTTCTATTCATGCTGTTTGTTCGAAGCTCATTAACTCATCTTTCTTGCATTCCCTTTTTTAAAGTTCCAGTAGCTTTACGTCTTACTTCGTTCGTATTATCCCCAGTCTAGTCCTCTGAATACCACAAACGAAAATCTCGATATGTTTGCACGTGTATTCACCAATTTCCCACACAAGGCCTCCATTTTTCTTCCCGTGGACTGGAAATGGCGTCGAAAACCCGTCGCCTAACTGTGGTCATTCCTAACGGACCTAAATGACGCCACCTACATAACATTCCAACCTCTAACGAAATGCAGTGGCGGATTTCGATGCGGGGTCGACACTTCACACGGCAATTTATCGATTTTCTCCTACGGCCGCCAATATATTCCGACGTTTCCGAAAAACTTACTTCCGTCTCACAGTAGCAAGGCTTTCACCGAGACGTCAGTAACTTTTACCGTCTGGTCAGCGCGCTGTAGCCGACCCGGATGACCCTAACAAATGTGAACC